CCAGTGGCATTCATTATGTTGCTATCCTGTGGTACAAGTTTGGGTGCCAGGTTGGTCCTTTGGGTTTTCCTTTGAGCAATGCTGGCTTGGTACTGAGGATAAATTTGGTTCATCTGATTCCCAAGGAAAATGAGCATTCCCAGCTCTGTAGGAATCAGCATTTGGGGGCTGGGCAAACAGAGCCTGTGGGATAGGACCAGCTTCACCGGGAAAGCAAGGAAAGAAAATTCCTTCTCAGGCTCAGTGAACAGGTATTTGAAGGCTTTCTGCCCATCATGTTTTAAGCAACATGCTGTTATGATCTGTCGAACCTACCAATGTTCTAATGCTATTTTAAAGACGTATTTTCTTTTTGAAATGTTATCCATTTATCTATGTATTTCTCTGACTAGGGTCACACACCTCACACATCAAGCTTTAGTGCATGCTGCTGCACAGGACACGTAATTACCCATTGAATACAAAAGACAGGTCATGAATGGAAAATGGGCCCGTTCAAACCAGTTCAGAATTGCACTATGCTAGTCATTTACTTTTGTTAGTTATTTTATTGCTACAGTCTTAATACTGCTTAAATGCACACTTTTAAAGCACTAATTGATAAGAAGGACTCTGTAAGGGCCTCTAGTTACCATTGTATCTTTGGAGCAAATCATCAGAGAATATGCTCTGGCACATATTTGCAGCTGTATTCTTCAGCAACTGTTCTTAGTGTGGAAAAAACACCAGCATGTCTTAAAAAAATTGCTTTGCATTTCAAGCCAGGAAATCTCAGCTACGTTCCATCTGACTTATGGATTGCAAAAAGCTACCGTAGTGAAAAACAAATTGTGGGATACATATCACATAGAAGGTTTATATGATATATCACTCAGCATGGAGCCTGGTTTGATTTACTTTGCACCCAAGCAAAAGAAACTGAAAATGAAAATAGTGTTTTTCCGTTCCTTGTATTCCCTGCAATATTCTGCCATCCTTCTGAAGGTAAAGTGCGTCATGAAGTCACTGTAGTTTTGCATTCAATAACTGATGGCAGGATAAAGCCTTCCTGTCTAGGAGGATGGTTCATAGCTGCACAGGTGGAACTAAATGTCTCATTTCTCAACTCATACCCAATTTGGAGAGGATTTTGGCTCTTCCTGTCTTGCAGAGGAGATCAGGGAGCTGCACGGGGACAATGAGCTCTCCCTGTGCACTGACCCCTGCTCCAATTTAGACACCAGGGACCTGCTGCGATTCATCTGGGAGTGTAACAAGAAACTATGGCACTAGGCAAACTACTCACTGACTGACATTTAGGAGCTTATAAATTGTTAGGGAATATTTAAAATGATGCAAATGAATATTTTCATATAGTATATTTGGCTGTATTCCTGGCCTGTATTATTTTTCTGGGTTGGATACCTCCATCTCCAGCAGATATTCAGTCCTTAAAATTGTTTGCCTTTTATTTTATGCTATTTATTTTTCTGCCATCTATTATTCTAAAGAGATGCAATGGATCAGCCCAGATATATTTCATGTTGTGAGGAGAGAGAAGGAAACAGCCTGAAAATCATCTGCAGTTCAACATTGAGCTGATATTTGTGGAGATAAGGACTTAGTCCACAACATTTTTACCTTGTGATTTGGATTCCACAGAGTAACAATCAGCTCCAAAAATCTCACTGTGACACTGTTTTCAAAGTCAAATAAGGAGCATCAATGAGAACACACCACCCCCCAAGTGGCTCCCCTCCAGCTTCATAACCCCAATTTATTTTTGACTTTGCACCATAAGACTGAAATGATTAATCTGTAATAGATAATCCCACAAATCTGCTACAGAAGAACAGAGGATGTGATTTGCTCAGGATTTGGCACACTGGCAATGGCATGTTATGGCAAGGTGCTTAATGAACACTGCACCACAGAAAAATAACATGCGTAAATCTCTGGCTACTGGAGAGGGATGTCCCCCTGTGCGATGAGGGAACCTCCTCCAGCGGTCACATTGACCACTGACTGCCCACCAGTGATTAAGCACATCATTTCCATCAGCTTTCCACAAAGACTTCTCCAAGCTTAGATGTTCGGCACAACCAGCCTTGAGCTTGCATTTCAGAAGTGCTAAGCACCTACAACATAGAAATTGAGGCGTTTACTCCACCTCTGTGGTGCCCTGTGGGGTCTCAGGATGTATGTTATATAAGTGCAAAGTGTAGTTATTTGTGGGAAGTATTGAATGCCTGAGGGAAACACAAACAGCTGGATGGCTACATCGCGTTTTTATGCTACCGAATGTTCACCTTCATTTCAGGCAGTAGAGGAAGTTTGTGTGGAACTTGATGCATAATTTATGGCACCATGAAGCATTTACCAGGGGTAAGCCTGAGCCCACGGAATCTAGTTGAAAAGGGCAAGCAATTTTTTTAAACTGGGACATGGCTACTTCTCGTGCCAAACCTAAAAGCCCAAAGCTGTCAAAACAAAATCAGAGCAAGTCTAAGTAACAGGCAGCAATTTCTCTTGGCACTGCCTACATATTTGCCAGTTAACAGAAGTAATTGGCCTTTTCTCTCATTTTAGAAATTGCTTAGGAATGCTAGAAACTCGAGAAAAAATTCTCTCACCTGTCTGACCTTGGCCAAGTGCTGAAGAGCAATCATCCAACCTGAAAGCAGGGCACCTCCAACAGCAGGCAGAGCAAAGGATGGTTGTGCTCTTACTGCCATTCAGCGACACCTTCCTGCTGCTAGAACTCCATTTCTCTTTTTGCAGCATCTCACTATTTACTAAGTAGCTGGAGATAAATATGGTGCTCTAACCTCCATTTCCTCTAACTTCAGGGAGATTTACCTGCCAGTCCAGGCAGTCCTTTCTGGCATCAGAAGTTGAACAAAGTTCTCCTTGTGGTAATGGAGTTTATTAGCCTGTGATGCCCCTTCCCTTGACCTGGTGGGACTTCTCCTTTGCTTGTGCTCCTGCCAGCCCTTGGCCTCCTGCGTGGGGTCAGTGAAGGTCTCAGTCTCCAGACTCCTAGGCCGTAACCAAGGGCCATAATTCATTTTGTGTGCGCCATCAAGCAGCAGCTGTCTTTAAACCACTGACCCAAGGCACAGGTGCAGGACAGCGGCATCGCTCACGGAGGCGCAGGCGACAGCAGGCCATGAGCCGGGCGGCCGGCTGAGGTGGCTGGAGTGGCTCCAGGCCTGGGAACTGCCCCATGAGGCAGCGCTGTTGATGGATGGCCGTGACAGATGCCTGTGTGCTGTTATCTCCACAGCCATCAAAAGGAGATGCTTATAGCTTCATATTAGCTGTCTCTTTAGCCCAAAGGTGCAGGCTTCCTTTGGTTGTGTGTGTGTGTGTGTGTGTGGTGATGACAGCTTTCCCCTTCATCCAACAGCCACACTGGAGCTTGCCAGGACAGCACTGACACCATCCAGCCTCTGCATCAACGCAGAGCACAGGGAACAAAACAGCCCAGGGAAATGGGGATGCTGGGAGCCTGAGCTCAACTCGTTCCTCCCTCTGCTCAGGCCATGCTTGTCCCTAGAGAAATCAGAATTTGGGTTTTCCCCTCTCAAACACCCAAGGGCCAGGCCCAGGCTCCACTTCTGCGCTCTGCTGGGCCGCCCTGGCAGGGAAGTGAGCTGTACTTGGCAGTTCTGTGGGATTTTTGACTTGGGAGATAGCAAAGGCAGCATCAACAGCTACAGTTCAGAGGGGAGAAAAGGGCTGTCTGCCAAACAGTGCTTGGAGCTCATGGGGGGGTACTGATGCAAGTGGTCAGATTGACGCAAACTTCTTCCCAGCCGCTTCACGAGCATTGCCACATGTATTGTTCAGCTACATGATCTTTAGAGGCCCCTTCCAAACCAAACCAGTCTATGGCATTGTCTCTGTCTCCACCTCTTGGTGCTCCTAACCACAGGCTGAGGTCTCACCTGCAGTCTGGGGATGGTGGGATGCCCAGCGGTGGGGTTTCACGCTGGGAAGTGCTGGGGGTCTTTCTGTAAGAGAAGCCTGAGAGCGTCTGCCTCAAAACAGTCAGGGCAGGCCTAGGTGATGGCTCTGGCTCGGGAAGGGGAGGGCAGCAGGGTTTTTCTCCTGGCTGTGCAGGCCCTGGTATCCCTGCTTCCTCATGCCTGCCCCCTTCCACCGCAACAGGTGCCTAACTCCTCTGGTGCTGTGGGGTCAGGTAAGTGTCAGAAAAACCTAAACTCACAGCAGCAGACATGAAACACTGGCACACAGATCCTGGTTCCAGGTGGCCTCAGCACCCACCTCCTGCTCCAGCACTGCCGTTGCAGGCTCAGGAGAGGAGCAAAGGTGGTGCGACCATCTGCCCTGGTGCCAGGGGTCTTAGCACTAGGGTGTAACATGCACAGGTGAACTGGTCTGTTTTGCAAACAGGCAGGCTGAGGTCATCTGGGTCTTTCCAGAGTCCCTGCTATTTTTTTTCTTCCTTTGGGGGCAGGGGGGAAGCCAGTAATCATAGGAATAAAGGACTAAAGTAGTTGGATGAACCATAATTTCCTAGTACAAACTCTCCTTGTCTGTATTTCTAACAGTTACAGCCATGGATGCCGAGATGGTTGCATTTTGGACAAAATAAGCACTGTAACAATAATAATGGGATGGCTATAAAAAAGTCAAAGTTCATTAAAAAAAACGCTCACCCATTTCATCACTAAGTCTTATTCTAATTCTGATAATTGGTCACTCAAAGGGAACTTTTTTTTTTTCTTTTTTTTTAAGAGATTTGTTAGTCTAACACAATGTTAAAACATGTGTCCAAAAGTAATACATCGGTTTTCTGTGGAACAATCCATCTGTTACTACAAGAAAATTAAGACAGGAAAAATAAACCTTATCCCATGAAATCAGACATATGAGAGAAGAATCCTTTTGAAACTCACCCCCAGAAATCCCAACCTGAGTGCGTAAGGAGGCAGACAGGCAGTAATGAGCAGAGTGCAGCCTCCACTGGATTCTTGCCCCTGGAAAGCAGCAGAATTACAAAATGTTCAGGCATGAAAGAAATTACAGATTTGCTACAGATATCTGCTGCTTAGTGCCTAAAAATTTAGTTTAAGGGTCCTCTCAATCTGTGTATGGAAATGAGTCAAAAGCAGAAGCACTTCTGACCTGCTTGAAATTTTTTAGCATCATCTCAACTGTTCTAGAAATTAAAACATTTCCAAGCTAATAATTTTGTACTCTTAGATTTTAGTTTTTCTGTTTGTTTGTGTTTTAATCAAAACTGTATATATTTCAAATCCGTAAAGTGACTGGACAAAGCAGTGTTAAAAATTCAACTGCACTAATTACTAGCTGAGCAGCATAAAAACCTCTGAATAAATGTCAGTCTAGGAGATAAGCTCTTATCTTAATCTAATGACTCCACAGACTTAATTTGTCAGGCCAGCCTAGTTGATGAAAAACAGGTTTCTATTCTCTAGTGTTAGCAGCCACATCTTTCCAAATCTTTGAAGTTGGATAGTAATACCATCAGTGTCATCCTGCAAAAATCTTGTGACCAAGCCAATTTCATTCCTATTGTCCTGTTACACTAATTAAAGTTGTTTTACCCCCATTGGTTTGCGATAGGTGAAAATGAAGCCAATTTATTTTTAGATTTGTTATATTCTTGGGATAATCATTCTTGCTTTTTTTTTTTTTTTTTTTTTTTTTTTTTTTCTCCTTCCCCCACTCTCAACAATGTGTTAATATTTGCAGTGCTCTTTTGGTATCAGAAAGCTGGGCTTTGCAGCAGGGCTCCACAGACAGCACAGTGCTATCCCAGGACAATTCCTGCAGTGCAGATGAAGTATGCAAGTCTGTGTGTGTTTATTTGTATAGAGAAGAATAATTTTGAGCTCTGGCAATAAATTTGATCTTAAAAGATGATTTTAGGTTTTGGAAGTTCTTTCCTAAAGGAGCATTTGACATATTTAGAGCTAAATGCACCAAATGTTCATATTGTTTGGACAAAGTGGATTAGCAAATAGAAAAAAAAAAAAAAAAAAAGAAATTGGCTGTGGTCAGTGTTTCCAGCCCCCCCTGCCTCAGCTCACCCTTCTGACGGGAATCTGGCAGGCTTTTTCATGCACAGTGCCCCATTTCAAAGGATACCATTTAAGAAGAGTATCCTTCATCCCAATCCTGGTATTTAAACAGGTATATGCTTGGGTTTGAGGAGTTACCTGGGAGGTGAATTTTACACTGATGATACCCAGGAATACTACAGTTAGGAAAACTCAAGGAAAATTGTAGGATTAAGGTATGACATACTGAGCCAAATCAGAGAGGCCAGGGGTCAGCTCCTGTCCCCAACAGGCTGTGTGTGAGCATGGGCACCCAATTCTGCACCTCAGTGCTCGGAGTGTAATGGGAGGTGGGCACTGGCCTGGTGGCAGTCAAAGTCTGTGAGCCCTGGCATGTGGACCATGCTGCCTGACACATCCCTGCAGCAAGGGACATGACAGGGTGGGGAGGCAGGGTAGGGATCTTTGCTCCTACAAAAATGTCAAACTGGAAGATATAATTTCCCCATCTTGGTTGGGTTCTGCAGCTGAAGTGTACTAATGGCATCATTTTAACATCCTGGTTTGCACATCCCTGCTTATGGCATATTTTTGTCAGCTGGGGTCTGTATCATGTTGTCTTTCCTTTTTTACCCTCAACCTATGCAAGGAAGCAGAATTAGCAGAGCAGGGCTATGAAAAGTGCTTATGGTCCTAAATGTGACCAGAAAGGCGGGGCTGCTGGATAAATTACAGGCAAATTTCCACAGATGCTAGAGCACCTCTGGGTGCAGATCAGTGCATACTTCTGTTTTTTAAGGCTTCCAGGCTCCTTTTGCCTATGGGAGTTGGGAACACAAAAGCTTTTGAGAATCTTAAAGCCTGAGACATATTTAAGAACTGTTGCCTGTTGCTTCCCAGGATTGAGACAACAAAATTTTTGAGAGCTCTGTGCTGCAGTCAGTAGCTGTCTGACCCTCTAAACACTAATAAACATTTGGTGCATGGTCTGCAAGCTTGAGGCCTCGTCTGACCAAAGCTTAAATTATATCCATTGATTTCATCATGGAAGTGATGGTCCACTCCTGGACATGCCAAATTCATTTATGTTAGGGCTATGGCCTGGAATGGCATTTTTTTCATAAGAATTAATGGATCCTCATTTCTCCTGCTCTGAGTCAGAGTTTAAATCTACAGGCCATTCCCGACACAGCTGTAACAGAAAATGAACACATTGAAGTGAAATTTTCAAAGTGACATTTGAATCCCCTCTCTCTGATGAAATCCCACCTATTGATCCAGTCAAATGACTGCAGTCTCCATGGGTCCATCCTGCAAAGCCTCCTCGACTGGCTTATTACTGCAATTCTTCAGGTGCACCGCTACCGTCTTTCAGCAGAGGACAGGTGCCAGCTAATCAACTGGAAAAATGAAAGCTCCTAGAGATGAAATCCTACTTCAGGTGAAAGCTATGACAAAATTCCCATGGACATCAGGGGCTACATGTATCTTAGGACATCATCTCAAGTTGGAATTTCCGTTTTAATGCTGACTCCCTGATCTACACAGTGGCTTTGACTTGGAATAACTCGTTTATTGCCCTTTCCCCAGTAGCTGATGCACTGAGGGGCTGACTCACGTGGGAGCTGTGGCCACAGGGGCATTGTGCTAGGACCTATCTGGCTTGAGTTAAACTGTCCGTACACCAGCAGACTTTGCGGCCTCATGAGTCCCTTTGCTCCTTCCATGCCCTCCACCATTTCCTTTTGTCATTCCACTAAAAAATTCACCTGGTTGGGCCTGCAAAGGAGCCCTGCCATTTCTGGGCCACCACCTACAAGGAGAGCAACTCGGGGTGCTGAGGAGAACTGAAGCCTCATGAAAGAACAAAGCTGAGTCCTTTGTAGAAAAATGTTGTGACTTTCAATCAGAGAGCTATGGATCCAGATCAATTTTCCTAGCAAAAGGGAATAACTCAAGTCTGAAAACAAAAAGGAGCCTGTCACGATGAGATACAAAAGTATGGGGTTATCTGTCAGGCTTGATGAAGTATAGTGCTGACAAGCCAATAATGAGCTAAGGGCCACAGTGAGGCTACAACAAGCTGGAGCCACCTTGGCCTGGCTAACTAAAGTCCACATGCTGGCACCACTACTGGAGGCAGAACAAGCACGGTCAATAGGAGCAGGACTTCTTTCTTGATTTGCAAATAGAGTATCCCAGCTCGCACACCTTTTGTTGGGTGAGTGGCAGAGTGTGCTAATACACATGCCTTTCCTTGGCTCTAAATGGTCTCTGACTATAAAAGTTAATAGCTTTGATGCAGCATTCCTAAAAGGAAGTGTTTGTCAATTCTGCTCTAAGTGTTTGAGCTCAAAAGTCTTAATTCAATGTGTCAGATAAGAGAAAATCATGTTGGCTTATATTTATGATTTATCACTTCTATCTTAGCACTAGAGATGTTTCGAGAGCAAACTAACTCTCCAGTTTGTGTTTTGCTTTGCTTTGTGTGTGTATTTATTTATTTTTTAAATCCATCTAAACCTTGCCAGTCAAATCCATAACATTTCTATACCAGTGTCAAATCTGCTGGGGGTGGGAGGAAGAAACACATCTGGAATGCACTAAGGTAGTATGTTTTGATAAGTCATAGCTTATGGCTGGGTACAGCAGAGGTTTGAAAATAGGCAGGCAGTGAGTACAAATCCATGACGAATAGCTGAGGCCCATGCTACTGCATAGGTCAAGATGAGCCACACTGCCAGACCCAGAGGAGCGCTGATGCCTGCTACTTCATGGGGCCCTTGGGTATATTTGGGATTCTTGAGCTGAGATTGGAAAAGGGGAAAGCCTGGTGAGCAGGTGAGCAGACCCACAGAAAAGCAAAGAAACTTGTAGTGAACAAAGACAGGATGCACGCTACATGTTATAGGTAGAAAAGGATCAGATCACCTCAGGAATTTGGGTGCTTAAGTGCCTTTTGTAGGATCCACCCCAAAAAGGCCTTGATGACCTAGGACAATATGGGTGGAGAGGTGTCTCCTATACCTACCAGCTCTCCAGTAGCACCAAAGCCAACATAAGAACCAGAGATCAGTCTTGATAATCCCATCATCTGGCCATGACTGCTTTATGAGATTGTTACATGCATGGGACCAAAGTAGGTAGAAAATTGTTTGGGTTAATCTAAATTTTTCCATAACATGTTACCTGGCAAGTGATGATGGCTGCTGAAACGTTTGTGTTAGGCTCTTGCTTTTACAGTAGCGCTGTCTAAAACAGAGAACAAACAGCTTTGTGGCGATAACAGTGGCTTCCCCCACATGGGATGCTCTCTCCCCTTTCATTTTGGCCTTGGTAAGTGCACATCAAAGATTTTCCACTTCTCCTGTTTCAAAGGGAACCTCCACCCACCCGCAAGTAGCAGTAAGCATTTCCTCCGGTCTTCACAAGCTGTTATTGGCTCAAACACCTTCCCTGCACTCTTTGGGAAAGGAGGCAGATAATGCAGGGAGAGCTGCAGTGATTCTCGGGACCAGCAGTAAAGGTACCCAGTTAAAGGACTTAGCGGGGGGCCTCAGATTTGCTTGCAGAGGCCTGTGTGTCTTTTCTTGCGATCAAAGCCACTGTGAGAAATTTTGGTTTTCAATTCATTTTTTTGCATATGGGAAAGAGGATGGCTTTGTGCAATGGCTGTTTAAAAATACTTCAAAAGAACTTGAATCAGTCCATGGCTGTGCTATATACAAATTAAAATAATTGATTTCTGGCAGCCTTTTAGGAGATCTATAAATTAAAGGGATCACGTTTCTGATACATTTTGGGGGACTTTATTTTATGCTGACTTTCAGAGTGCCCTCCATGCCAGAGCTGGAAGTCAGCCACCAAAGCAGAAAGCTTCTCACTTTCATTTGCTTTGCCCTCTTGTCACAGGAGCCACTGGGTCTCCTTCTGGAGCACCCATGGTTCCAGCGGGTCCTGGACCCATGCCAGCTCTGTACCCTTCCCGTTCATTTCATGCTTTGAGAACTTTATGTCAGGAAACAGAAGCTGCCCCAAACCTACCAAGAGCCTCCCCTCTGGGGAGTTTGCTTCTCTCCCCTTTTTTCCATCAGTAGAAACTGATACCCTCACCCAGTCTGTGTTGCACCTGGGCTGTCCCCATTGTGTGCGCTGATGGCAATGGGTTCAGCTCTATCTGTGATGACCTAAAAATAGCTCTCAATTAACATTGCATTTCAAGAATTGGAAAATTTCCCAGAAGTCCATTCTTTTTTTTCTTTTTCTGTTTCATTACATTTTACAGTAATAATACACAAGCCTGTAGAAAACATGACGGGTAATGAAAAAATGTAATTAATATAAGCAGTGTAAAGCATTTTTTTCCCTCTGTTGTCCTTGCAGAAAATTACTGCTTTAAACTGAGCAGGATGTGAAAATGCATAAAGCAAACAGTAATATGCTGTGGTTTGTAAATATCTTATGCAAAATAGTTAAGTCAACTGCTGTTTATTTTTCTTACTTTGTGTCACAAGCTCTTACTTTCTTTTGTTCATTATTTTTTCCATTTGTTCTTTTTTGGGGGGGGTTGCTCTCTTTCATCCTAAGGAAGCCATTGGGTTAACTATATTTTTTTTTCTGCTACAGCTAATTCAATCAAATATACAGGACAGGCTAGTCCATCTCATCTTACCATCTCCCATTTGCTGGCTCTGAAATGCAACATATACTACAAAAGCGTAGCAAGTCTTCACTATACTGAGGTTCTGCTCTCATTTTAATGGGATTTAAAAAAAAAAAAAGGAAAACACCTATCCCACAAATAAGTAATTATCCCAAATCCTGCCATAGCATTAAGACAAACTGTAGCCTTCCTGACGATGCCTGTAGGATTCGGCAGTGTTTTTATAAGGCTGCCCAGTCACAGTTCTGGAATGGGCTGTGAGCAATATGCAGTCAACATTAACTAAGATAGCATGGTCTATGCCAGCTCTCCTTAGTATATTTCTCTGTGGCTATCTGTAGAACTTGTAATACCCAGTGATATCTGAAGGTCACAGCAGAGTTTCTGAGCTGAAATACAAAACAGCATTCCAAATACATCTTCTGTGGCCAGGCAAGAAACTGCTTATGGTTTAGTTTCCCTCCCCCCTCCCCGCAGCTGACATCCAGCATTAGTTATTGTTTATTTTTGTCTTGTTCCTGGTTCGAAAGGTTTCCCTTATGGCCCTGCTTTATGTGAACTTTCAGATATCACTCGGGGCTTCTCTGCCTCATCCCCTCTGATGTAGCCGGTTCCCCTGTGAAGGTAGGTTTCCCCAGCTGAAGATCTGTGCCTCTCTCCTGTGGCATTCTGTGCAGCCATTTGGAGTCCCAGATGTAGGAAATGAAATAATCCACGCTCATACAGTCATGAAAGTGCCCATCTGGCACACAGGAACATCACGCATTGGAAGCACACAAGCGTGAGCTCACTTTTGTTATGGCATTTCATAAACAGAGATGCAGCGAGCCAGCAAGTAAGGTCCTTTGGATAATAACAATCATTTCCACCACACATTGTGTTTAAAAAATAGGGGAAGAAAAATAAGACAAACTGGAAAGATTTGCTTTGAGGCTTCTGAGGAGAAATTTCTACTTATAAACGTTTTTTCCCAATGGCCTGCTGTACTTACATTTCCCTGGTTCTCCCACTCTCTATGTAGATGTAAGACAATGGTGACAGCTGAAATGTAGCCAGTTAACTCTTAGTTACCTCTGCAAGCTCCTCTTCCTCACTGTTCGATAAAAGAAAGGAAATATTAGATCATACTTACAAAAGTGAGTTCTATAAAAACAAATTGCATGTTACTGCTTTCTTATCACTACATAAAACTCACAGAAACAGTCTAATAAATGACCTCACCACTCAATTTTGAAGTATACAAATTAAAGACAGCAACAGATAAGCCAAGAGAGATTAATGTACAGTGTGTGCGCCTGTATGTGTGTTTGCATGCCTCTATGAGGACATACCCATATGCTGTTGACATTCAACCTCTGGAATAATAATTAGGGGAAAAGGCAGATGTGTAAATTCATCTTGCTGGGCAGTGTATATATGCTGCACTAGTCCCTGATTAATTCAGAACTTGAACACTAATCCAAAACACAAGGTTTCTGTTGGGATATGGTGGCTTATAGAGGGGTGGAATACGAGGAAACAATGAACAGCCCAAAATGATGGACTAAGTTCAATACCAATAAGTAAAAAGCAAGGTTATTTATATTATTCCAGTTTTGTAAAGTAATTGAAAAAAGACACCCTAGGCTTTTTTTTTTTTTTTTTATGTCATTGCATGCTGTAAAAAAGCCTTGGGATGTATTAAACCTCAGAAAACCACCATTAGCCCTTCTGACGGTGCTGGATCTTCAGAGGACTCCTCAAAGGGGTGAGGTTTTTAAGGTCAATGGAGAGCAGAGAGAGGTGTCATGTCTCGTGAACCATCGGAGGCAAACCATGTCCCATCCACAGTGGGGGCCCGGGCCTGCCAGGGGCAAGGGTATGCTACTCCACGGTTTATGAACATAATAAATTATGGATAACAGTAAAAGAAAATAGTCTCTGCATTTTACATGAGCCATTTTTGTATTGTATTTGGCAAACAGTATCTTTGTCCAGTATATGTTAAATACTAAGTGCTAAGTTGGGAAAACAATGATATGTTTGTAAATACGATAGACCATTACAATATACTGCTTCTCATTTGAAAAGTCATTTGTGCAAGAAATGATTATTGACCCATGATATGTAAATGATTGAAATGCAGAAATTAATATTTGGGTCAACTCATGTATTTTTCAACCATGAAATGAAAAGCTCAGTATTCACATTCTAATTCATACATGAAAGCATTACAGCACTATTACTGGGCTATTGTATTAATTTATTATTGTCTTAGTTAATGACATACAGAGTTATAACTCTACTTTCAAACTGAGGAAAAGGCATTGGTAAGCCCTAGTAATGTTTCAGCCCAGGAATGCCCCTTTTCCTGGACTTTTCTTGTCCTGGTGATCATAAAGCAAATTCGCAGCTGATTGAAGCAAATAATAAGCACTACTTGCACTAGGGTGTGTTTGGTCCTAACACACCTTAAATGTTGCACATGGGGGATTGGCTCCTACTTTGCAGCTCCTGACTGTTCCCATGGGGCTTGATTCTTACCTCCTTCACCTGAGTTTTACACCAGTGCAATGCTACTTATTTACTGAATTAAGCTAGAAATAAAATCAGCACAGGGTCAGGACATAGTTGTCTGTTTCTTACTCTCAGGGGGTTTTGTTTCTGCTCCCCCTCCTCTTTCACTGAACCACAGGGCAGTCTGAGCATGTGGGGCTTCTGATGGTGCTGGTAGGAGACACGTTCACCCTGATGGAGTCGCAGCAGCCCCAGCCCTTCAGCCCAAGGTGACTTTTGTGAAAAGATACTGAGAGCCCAGGTTGTAGCCCTAGAGACTCAGGTGCTCTCTTTCTCCCTAGAAGGAGCGTCCCACGACCTGGAGCAGCAGTTCAGCCTCAGCCCATGCTACGCTCTGTCCCCGAGGCAGCAAGAAGAGAGCCACGTGACTGCAGTGAGGTTCTGCAACTGCTGCCACCCATCGCCAAGGTGCTTGGCTGAGGTGGTCGATATGGGACAAGTCATGCCTGTGAGATTCGATTATCTACATAGTACCGTATGGTCATCTCTTGGGCTATTATCCATTACATTTCAATTCCATCAGCCACTGAGCTTAGCTGGATTGACTCTGATTTAAGGTCAAAAATCCAAGTAATTCATTACTGTCTTATAAACTGTGCGCTCCACATTCATGTCTTTTTATGCAAAAGTAAACAGTGCCTCATTCTTTGTGCCATGGGGCACTGGACTAGACGGGTCTATCTCCTTAAAGAGATGCAGAATTTAATAACAAATAAGTGTATGAGTGAAATCCATGTAGAATGATATTTGTCATAGACAAAATGAATGGAGAAAGTATGGGCAGAATAATTCAGATAATACCCAAAAGCAAAGCATCACAACTAAATCAGGATTAACCCATGAAACATGATGTATTTCATGAAATGACTGGTATATTCTAATGACCACAGTGACTCAAATGAATTAAACAGGGCAGTACTGCATTAAGGTTGCTACAGAATTCCTATCTGTTACATAGATATTGGGTCATGCCTACAAGAATGGGCCTGATTTATCTTAGATAAAATTACATACAACTGGATTTGCATATATCTTACAGATAAAACTTTTTTTTTTTTCATTTTGAGTACAACAATTGTGTATTTTAGATACAAATTATTTAAGCAGCTTTAAATGGCTCATTTTGATAGTGATAAAGCCAGCTCTACACAGCTTCCTAGCAAGTCCCAGTGTAAGAGCATGTTTGAGTGGTGAAGAACTCATTTGGCTACCCCAGGACTAACTAAAATTGTGACGCAGATGAAGCAGAGGTGGTGATAATCAGTGATGTAGCCACTGCCCCCATGGTGTGAATAAGCAACCGCCCACACCAGCCAGATGTATAGGAGGGGCAACACCCTCTTGATCCTGCCCAATTAATCACTCTCTGTTTTTCTTAGCCTCTGGTGCAAAAGGCAGACCCAGATGACTAATTCTGGCAATAGAGGCCCTGCTTCTCAAGGAGACTTCCCTCTGGTAGAAGCACGATTTGGTTTTAGTTTTCTTGTGGCCTGTTCCTTTATTTGAGGCTAATGGCTGACGTGAATCGTAATGTTAGGAGAGGGGAACACGATTTGTACCAGCAATCTAGAAAAGATGGCATGTTCACCATGGGTGGGCACAGAGGGTGCAGGCTTGACCACAAGGGAAGGAGGCACTGGCAGTGCCTCTCCTCCAAACCCAGTGCCCCCAGGCTGATCTGGAGGGGCATCAGCTAGAGTGTGACCAAGGTGGAAGCGGAATAACACGTGCTGTTTTGCAATGAGTTCGTGTGGGAGTCTCAGACCAACAAGGTGATGATTACTATGGCCCCAGCCAAGCACGGCCTTTGTTTAACTTCACTGGATGAGTAAGCTAATTGGCGTCACTGGGCCTGTATGTGTGCTTAAAAGTTATGGCTGTGTTAAAGTGCTTCGGTGGGTCAGGGAATAATGGATGTTTAGCACCTTGCAGGACGCAGCCCTGGGAGCAAGCCTTGCCCTGACCTTCTGCGAAGCAAGGGGGTGCTCCCAGGGCCTGGCTGTGCTCAGCCTGCGGCTGCACTGCCCCACACACGCCACAGCCGCATAATGCTGGGAATTGTCTAAATCATGAAACAACATGTTGTACCAGGGCAGCCAAAAACAACAATAAAATTAGCAGGAGCCAGTCCAGCTGACTCTAGGAGAAGCTGCAGAATTTCAGAATTAATCTTAAATTTACCTCTAACCCTGAAAACTAAACTAATTGTATAATGTAAGGCTCCCCGAACACGTTAGGGAACTTGATGGGAATACCTCAGGAAAAAAAAAAAAAACAAAAAAACATAAACACTTTAGATAAAGCCTCCATTTTAATTGTATCAATTCTGCCAATTAATGATAATGGAAGAGCAGTCCAATTAGCTAAATAGCTAATAGTTTTATCAAGCAGAGGCTGGCAATTTAAAGCAAACAAATTCTTTCTAATTTTATCCCCTTGCACACCAAGATGTTTAAAGGATAATGGGGGATCCAATAAAGGATATTGCTCAAATAGAGCTACGTTTAAATCGCCTAATGGCTTTAAGAGTTTTACCCCAATTAACAAAAAGAAACATGAACATCCAGTGTCTTCTAGCATAATATCTAAAATGTTCATTAGAAAAATAATATATTCTCCATCTAAGGCGAGAATGGAAAACATCACTGACTTTTACCTTAAAAAAATTCTCCCAAAGCTAAGGCTCCCCTGTAGCAGCAAAAGTATCAGAGAAAAAGGACTCTCCAGTATAATCTGAAGTATATAAATAATCTTCAAACTATGGTCATTATTTTTAACGTAACTGTGGATTTGAATAAAGGAGATTGACCTATCTAACATATTTAAGACCAAATCCTACTGTTACCTAAATCTGAAATAAGTTAAGGCTATTGAAGAGAATCAAAAGCCTTTTCAAAATCAATAGCCAGAACAAATTCCTCATGACCATAATTTTGAGGATAAAAAATCCATTAAAGTGATGTCTTTGATTGCTATTAATGAAGCAATCTGGAATAAATCCAGAATGATCCATATGGATAATCGAATCTCACATTTTCTCACATTTTAAAGGGCTCAGATTTGGGCCCTGATTTATATGACAATGATGAGCAAAAGGCTCATTTCCTTCTAACACTGAGGTGCCCACCCTGGACATTGGGTGACATGGTCTCTAAAGGGAGCTAGAGGAGCAATGCATTCAACACTCAAAGAAGAGCTCAAATAAATCAGCTTCCAGCCTCCCCGACAAATCGCCAATACCTCTTTGCTGCAGGTATTTTGGAGGCTACTGCAGGCTGCAGAAACCACTGAAGTGCTGCCGTTGTGCTGGAGAAGGGTTCTGGGGGGAGATCTCCACAGAGCTAAGTCAGCAGTTGGGCCCATGCTGGGGAAGACATGCCATGGGGAGCTCCTGCTGCCACGTGACTGCAGGTCCCTCTCCTGAGTTTGCTTCACTCCAGTGACCTTTCCTCAAACTTAGCTGCTCCAGAGCCTGAAAGGTTCAAGTCACATTTGTTTCACTCACAGGGGCTTTTTTTGCAACAGTCTGTTAATTATCTAGCACAAATCTGCCCCCTACTCCCCCCAGTCCCTTAGAGATGCTCAGCACCCTCACTGCCCTGGCCAGGCTGAAAAATTTGCTGCTCATCTCAGCAACAGATTTTGAAAATTTCAGCAGAAAATCATTAGTACTAGAACAGAAGACACAGTTTCCATTCCTGGCCTTTTTTTTTTTTTTTTTTTTTTTTTTTTTTTTCCTGCTTTTAACATCTCTCTAGGGTAGATGCCCACCTCCCTCACCTTCCCTTAAAGTCAGAGTGGCCTGTGTTCTGGAAACTGTCACATCCTACAAAATGCTCCTGGCCCTATGCCACAAGGCCAGGATTTGGCCCCTAGTCCCTGAGCAACACTGTTTCAGTGAGAATTCAATAAAGTACTTGTATTATATGAACCTGGTAGGAATCGATTTTTATTTGAAACCAAATTTCAGGTTTCAAGCAAGAACAAAAAGTAAGACAGCAGGTCAATACATTTTGTATGGGTATCACATTAGGTCAGAAAGATACTGAACTTTCACCTTTATTATCACCCTAAATTATCTTTGAGTCAAATTTAATTTCACAGATTTAAGAGACCCTTTTCCTTCACTGACTGCACACAGTGAAGGTGAAAGATTTATAGAAATATATATATGTGTGTATATATATATTCATCCAAGGCAGATGCAAATGGGTGTTTAAAAGGCTTCTCTGTATGAAGGAAAAGTTACTAACAGAACCACCTGCATCTCTAACAGCTGAAAATACATATAAAGGCTTTCACTCCAACTTCGCAACCAACTGATGCTCTCCTGTTTCTCCCACCCCTACAACCCCCTTCTGCATTTAGACACCTCTAAAACCTATGCAACTCCAAGCTGCCATCTGCTATAGGTGCTGCTTCTACTATATTGGCAAGCTTGGTGGATCCATGTCTCAGGGGTGCCTCTTTGTAACAGGGTGCCCTTGGGTGACCAGGGTCAATAAAAACTGCTGCTTTTCCATATGGCTCTGTGCAGTTAGGATAGAAGGTGTCTCATTTCTACCCTTACTAAAAATGATGTAAACAAACGAAAAGACCAAGCATGTTAGGTTGAACAAAGATCCAACTATTCCCACATTTTGTGTCTGGCAATTACCAGCAGTGGATGTTCAGAAGTGGAAATACAAGAACAGGTCAACGGCTGCTGTTTTACAGGTGGTATGCACCCTCCCAGCAATCTGTGGTTTAGGCAATCTCTAGTTTAAGCTTGTCTGGACCTGCTGGTAGCTGCTAGGGTTACCAAAATCTTCAAGCTAGACTAGAGGCCAACTGCTGACAATCCTTGAGAGTACATGGAGGTTGCTGTTATCTTTTTAGAATACAAATATATTTTTCCTCTAGTTTTTAGAGGTCTGAAATGATACCTGCAACTCATCAGAATGGTTCCCATTTCTTCTTCATTGTGCACAGTGCTGAATGGATTTCCTCAAATCCTTTTAATGGGCTTGAACCTGAGTAGAGAAAGCAGGCACTTTACTCCAAACTTTTCAGAACTTGTGCAGACACAGTAGTCCTGGAAACACCTGTGAAATATTTAGAGGATTGTTAGGTAAATTGGGAATACTTGAGGAACCTGAACCAGCACAGGCAACAACAATGATCTCTACTGGTGATGAGAGAGATTAACTATTTACTACCAAAATTTGGCATTGCAGATTGTTGTTTATAGGAGGAAATATGCTATGCCCTGGCATTGGTAGGATGGCTGATGAGTATGGAACAGGCTCCAAGACTGGGCCCAAAGCTTCCAAGCTCCAACCCAGCCCTGCCAGGCGACAATCTACAATGACCACAGAACAGCTCCTGTGCAAGCCAGACATCTCATCAAACTTAAGAGGTATCCTTAAAATAAACAAGAGGCAGATTCAGTGGGTGAATTTCATCTGGAAAGTGAAGTGTCTATTATCTGTATAGAAGCAGAGCCTAAGATGGTAGGAGAAGGGAGTGGGGCAGGGCTGGAGGAGCACTTGGAGGGGAGAAATTCAGCCTGCTGAGCCTTCCTGTCATGGCCCTTATTCCATCTTGATCTAAAGCTATGAAAAGTAAGAGGTTAACTCTCTGCAATCAGCCAGGGTCAAAGAAATTATAGGTAAAGTTTTCTGACCAATATTATTAAAAGCCTCTACCAGCACTAATGGGCACCACAGCAAATCACATTCACAGGATTTTCTTTAAGTACCTCTGTCACTACTAAGCTCGAGGATGCTTTTTTTATTATAATAATTAATTATAAATGCAGTTATGTATTCCACTAGCCGTTTTTGAAACTAAGGGAAATTTACCAGGAGAACAAAGAAACAAAGGAGAACAAACTCTGCACCTTGTCACAGTGATGTAACGCCAGGAAAGCTGACAGAGTAGTACGAACTCATGTAAGGAAAGAATGTGCTCCAAGCTCCTGGAATGCATGCTAGGCCACGCTGAACAGATACAGCCATCTCACCCTGTCGAGTAAGAGCATGAGAGAGAAAGACTTTTATGATAGTCTACCCACTAAAAAGAAACATAGCTTATTTTTATGAATAAATGTGTTTCCTAAAGAATAGTTGCACACGCTCTTGTTTGCATAAGATTTGGTATACATTTGTGGTCTTCAACAGATAAGTCCAAACCCTGAGTATTTCATGTAATTAATGTCAATATGCTTGGCTTATATGTTATAAAAGAAAAGCATTTCTAATTAGCCTTTTTGATGTGTAAAACTTCAGTGTTTTTCCCTAGTGTTTTCCAAATCAGGGTCTTTTTTTTTTTTTTTTTTTTTTTTTTTTTTTTTTTTTTTTTTCCCATTCCTGCACACAGAGACAATGTGAGGCTTATGCACCGCTTCAGTCTTGTTCTGAAGACAGTTTAAATTGCATGTAAGTGATAACTAGGCCCTAGGCTGGCCCTCAACATGGCGTGAGGTTCACCTACTACGAGCAATGCCAGGAATTCACATAGTATAAACTGGCCTTGTGACAAGTCAAACATTTCAATTTCCTGTTAAATTCAACCATCACTCTGCATATTTGCATTTATTATAGTGACACACACAATGTACTTTTCATCCAAAGCAAACCCTACTTGCCTTCATGGAACCTCTGGAGAGCCTTTGGGAAGAACAAAACCTCCACCACAATGATATTCAGAGGATTATCACAATAGGCCAGGGACACACTTAAATTTCAAGCAGTAAAGAGAGTACAACTATGGTGAGCTGCTCAGATGTAGCAATAAAGAAGGTCAAGGTGTGCACTTTAAAAAAAAAAAAACAAAAACAACCAACAAAAACAGTCAACTCTGTAGAAAGGACAGACAGATTAAGAAGTTTTTGCCAAGCCAAAGTATTGGTCCTATCATCACGAAGTAACAGGAGGGTGGAAAGTTGAGTATACAGACTCCCACCTCTTATCATTCACATCTCTTTTTCTTGGGAGAAGCTCAGCAATGCATATACATTTAAGTAAAACCACAGTACAAGACTGACCAGATGCCAATTGGAATCAATGGTTATATTTTCCCTTCACTTTGGGTCTTGGATTAAGCTCTAAATGAGATCAGAGCTAGACCTGATCTGTGGACGAATACAGGAAAAGAAAATGTGCTTCTCTATTAAGTTGGACAGGCAAAGTGCTTTATTGAGTGCTGAAATAAGATGTGAGATTCCATGACAAACTGAGGTTGTTTTTCTTTCCCATTTTGCTCTCATTTAACACAAAGAAACTCATTTTCCATATCACGGGGCCCTTGATCCTGAACAGTAAATACAGTGTCTTCCCTAGACACATGAAGGCCCTGCTTTACAGCCCTGGCAAGAGAGTGTACATTGGCCTTGTTGGTTGGTTAGTGAATTCAAACACACATAGTGAATTCCTAAAACTTTGGCCAAATCAACATCTTAAGCAATTTTTAGCTTCTCCAATGAGCCAATACCGTTGTAGAAACCTGGAAGCAGCAGTCATGTCTTTGATGATTTATTTAGCAGGAGTCATCTAGTAGCTAATTGTCAGCAATTTTTAACCTCATTCATGTACAGCGCCAATTCTTCTGCAGTTTTCTCCTTAAGCTTTCTTACATCTCTGTGTGTAACATTTCCAGACAGCAGTTCAACTTTATCACAAATATTTTTATGAACTTGCCAAACCACATCGAAGATCTTCAGACTCAAAAGTACAAGATAAAATCATCCTTACAGGGCACCTCACCCTTCTCCACCCAGACACATGAAAACAAACAAACAAACAAACAAAAAAAGCTTAAGGCTCCCACATTTTACATTTATAATGAATAAGAGCTTAGTTTTTCCTTTTTTTTTTTTTTTTTTACCTGATGGGATTTTCACCTTTCCATTCTTTCCTGGATTTTTCACCTTGGATCTGTATCAAAAGAGAAAAAATACTGGTGAGCTACGTAAAAGAACACTCCACCTTTTCTGTCTGTATTTTTTGGCTCCAGTGAAATGCATGCCTGTCAATGACTGCAGATCTACCATAAAAAGAATGAGTGATGACTGGTGGGGGGTGTCCATGAGTGCAGAAGACTTTTGTACCATATTGGCAATAAGTCTTAGCACAGATCATAGTCAATTAAAATGCTCAGGACATTTGATGACTGTAACCTAGATCTTCCTGGGTAACATAGATCTTCCTGGGTAAGTTCACAGGAAAATCTGATTCAATATATGGTTCTGTTTCCACTGTGGTTTAAGGACAGTTCTGATGCCTGTTAAGTCATAGAAATATAAAAATTCTACTCAGATTTCTGGTTAATCTCACACGATTCTTCATGAGATAGAAAGTTATTCCTATCCATTTTCTGCAGTTACTCTGGTGCATGATTCAGCAGTTGTCAGATGTCTGTTTTGGGGTGGCTTCCTGCCACAAGTGGATGAAAGACTCTTCATGCCTAGTTTCTGTCTCCTATTTACATGTTTATGAAGAAGCCTGGGTCCCTTGGGAGATGGAAGACACTCTATTTTGGCAATATTATCACCATCATCTACTATGATCCATGCCTGTGGGAAGATGTTTTTAAAAAGAATAAGTTCTCTTTTCTTAATGTAGCCATTGTTTAAATGTAAAATACAATTACAGTACCCACCCAGGGTGTATGTTGTTGTGTAATTTTACAATACTACGTCTAGATGAGTGTTGGCATTCTACCTATGTACTTACCACACCCAGGAATGTTGGTATTACACAATTACACACATCCTGTTGACTAATTACATAATAATTAGTATTTTTAATATTCAAAGATGCATTCAAATTGGTTATGCAAGATTTTATGTTGCTGCAAATTAAAACCAAAACATAACAAATACATGTAGTGAACAATGCTGTTCAGATAGCTTACTGAGCGTGGACTTATCTTCCAGCAGACGGTACATAATAATTCATATTTCATACATTTTAAACACGTTTGGCAGGCCCTCCCTCTCCCACTGTTACTTTGGGTAACCCACCTGCTTTATAAAACTGCTAAAGTTATTTTGCATTCAACACAGTAGAATTTCTGTAGCCTGCCTACTTCTGAGTTATGATCACTTATCATGACCAGAGATAATTTTTGGCTGAAAAAGTACTGTGACATGCCTGGGAAAGGCAGATTGTTCTTTACAATGGCAATTCTGGAAGGAATTTGGAAAATGCAATTTACGTTAGCAATTACCTGCAAAAACATCCCAAATACTATTGTTTCAAGTAAGCACTACTGATGAACCTGAGCCATTTTGATGTGGAACAGATTTTCTACAAGCATGGGTGGAGTGTCTTGATCTGAGCTCCTGGTTGCAATGTCTGGCTCACCATTTGGATTTGGGGGCTTGAAGATCACAGACTTTTTTTTTTTTTTTAACCATGTCTTAAAATACGTACTTAAAACATTGTTTATGCAATGTAAATTCTAAACTTGGTGTTTCTTAACCCAGTCAAAATTCACAGAATGCATAGAAGCCCAGCCCTGCTCTTGCCCAGGGCACTTTTTTTATTAGCTGCTATGCACCAAGTGGATCGCATACGATGTTTCCATGGTGTTTCTGGCCTGCCCCTGTTAGATTCCGTGGAGTCCCCAATTGAGCACATAGAGCTTTATGACAGAAAAGATGGGAAAGATGGACTGTGTTCCTTTCTTCCAACTATCTGTTTCCTGGGCAAAAGCAAAGAGTAACAAGCGTTTTGCAAATAACTTTTTTTTCTGCCAATCTTCATGAATTTGAATTTCAACTTTTTAATTACTGTGGCTGCATGTGACATTTCAAGGCCTTGGGGACAAATCAATGCCCAGGGCGTCATTATTGGACCGTTTGTCTTTTCATGCAGCAAGAGGTTATAAGTGCAAGACCAGCTTCTTTTCTGAAGAGCAACTTCTTTCTGCCCAGGTAGGTTAAAAATTGGCATTGCAGTCTAAACATTTGCCCCTGCTAGGTGGCTGGTTACTTTTTAGCCAACCAGCACCTGTATGAAAGCAAATTGGATCTGTTTGGAAGGAGCAGGGTGTGGGACTACCGAGGTAAACAATACCGCTCAGCTCAGAGGATGCAAAGCGGACTCACAGCTGCCCTTTCCCCAAAGCCTCAGCAACCCCACTTCTCTACCCGAACATCAACAGAAAGGTCACTGCACTTCTGTGCACTGGACAACACAAAGGAAGTCAGCTTTTTGAATTTGCAATTGGGTCTTCTGTTACTTCAAGAGGCTCTTTTATGTCCTCTACTTTCTTACCTGCTGTGCTTCATCCTCTGCCAGACAAGAAGTTCTTGAGGGGCCGGGCAGTCATCCTCAGCTGTATACCTTGGTCACCACTGGTAAATGTGCAGCAACTTCATATCACACTGAGAGTATTTCTTCAGAAAGCAAATGCTGAAATACCATTCTTATATCATGTAGTCCCAGTTGCCATCATTGGTCAAATTCCTCTTGCCCTTCATTCATAAAGAAAAATGTCACAATGAACTTACGCACTTTGCTATCTGCCCCCCAGCCACAACGAATTTCTGTGCTTTGCTACCGCCCCCCCTCCCTGCTGAGAAATGCTGGAGCACATTTGCATATATTATGAACAGTATTTCATTACTGAAAATAATCCAAAACAAAAAATTGCACCTGGCCTGACAACACAAGGCCAACTTGCTTCCTGATGTGATTTTAAATGGCTGAGATATTAAAACACTGAAAAACGGGGTTTATAATGGAAATACTGACAGACTATTAACTATAGCGACGCTGCTCTAATAAATGGAATAGCCTGTCGTAATCTCTAGTTCATAAATATGCAAATACAAGGCAGAGGATTTGCTCCAAAGGATGTCTCTATAATTTTAACTGACCTTTACTGATACTAAATGAGCCTGTTGCTTCTGTTTTTGAGCATTAAATAGAAGTACAGGGAATCCAGTCTCTCTACATTCAGCACCATTCAGTTCCCATCAGCACCAATGGCAAAATCCTCAGTGTCTTCAGTGGTAAAAAAATCTGGCCCCAGAACACACAGAAAGTAAGATGCCTGGATGTACTCAATTTTAATTCTGTTCTCATCCGTGTTAATTATTATTATATTAATTCTTCTGTTTGGGAGAAATTAAGTACACATTTGCCCCATGTGTCAAAGAGCTTGACCTGCCAAAAAGCACTCACCCGCTCAGTGATAAACAGGCCATCGACACAATGAAATAAACGTTGAATTGTATCCAGTTTCCTGTTCTGGACCAAATGGAGGTAAATCCACTGACTTAATATTTAATAACCTAAATGTAATTTCTTTTTTGTGCCTCACATTGCACAGTAAAGAATTGGATGGCTAGCAGTTTTGCAGATTCCCAACCCCTAATTATTTTAAGCTATTCATCCTGGTATCTGTCCATTGATGCTCAGCCAAATTGCCAGCAGGGGAGAGATCTGTCCAATCCAGGAGCTAAATGAGTCACTGAGAGTCAATCTGTTTTTTTCCCTTGCTGCTGGGATTTCCTTGGGTCCTGGCCTCTCTCTGCTCCAATCACACACACAGAGCTTCAGGCGTGGGTCCTCTTTGGCTTCAGCTGCCTCCTGTCTCCCCGTGTCTGCTCTGCTCATCACAGCTGTTGATGGGTTCTCGCCGGCTGGCCGCAGAAGACCAATACTTCCATCACACTGCTCCTACAGTTCTTGCTCTGAACGAAAATGAAGACATCTTGGCCTTGTTGAATTTGGTGCTGAAGTAATACATCAGGTATCTAGATGGAAAGCAAACCACATGAATAAAATGTGTCATCTGGGTTAGATACTAATTTATTTGCCTTAAGTTCTGGGAACAATATTTGCACTTTTTCCAGAGAACTCAGTTAAGTTCCATAGAAACTGAATACTAATATAATTTCTGCAGCATGGAAAACAAATATGAAACAGAAAAAAATAGACTCATCAGAAATATTAGCTGTTCAGTATTAAAATGTCTGACAATGCTGCAAACTCAATTTATAAACAGGAACATTTAGAGCCTAACTATTCACTGAAAAGCAAATTCCTTGCTTGTTCCCTTTTAGGGTCAGGATTCAATTACACAAAAATATGCGGCAGACTTAAGGACTGCATGTAAGATTAAGATAACTGGTATTTCATGGTAAATGATTAAATTAGCTGACACAGTTTTATCCTGAACTTTGCCATTAAAACTGACATTTTTGTGCCACGCACATTGTAGGCTGCTGGTAATCTAAACTGCCTTTCTTCTTTCAAAGACTTTAAATAGCTGAAGAACTCTTGTTCTTTACTCTATTTGCAAATGTGTGGAAAATATATCTACATCATAACAAGATGAACTAAGCACAAGACTTTTTTTTCCCCTCCTCATCTATCATACAAATACCTTAAGAAAACAGCAAGGAAATTCCAAATGCCCAGAATCAGCTCTGCAATACACACTTTAATCAACTCATTTATGTGACTCTACAGAGATGAGAACATGCTGTCCTCCTCACGGTGAGTAAAAATAGAGAAATGACAGAAGCCTCTTAATAAAAGTTTAATTATTCCTAGTATACAATTCTAAACCACTCTGTTTTATTTCTCTTCAGGCTTGCTTTTTTATGCAAGGAGAGTTACAATAATAATTTTTATATAAAACACAGTTTAGGATTGGTTGGATGAAGTGTTGCCAGAGATGGTGACTGTAGTCACTGCCATTGTTGAGCTAGCTGGGAAGGAGCAACTCTACTCCTCTGTGAACATACATGGCCTCCAAAGCAAAGCACAGTCACGAGGCATTGTACACAGCAAACACAATCAGTCTGATCAGAGAATCGAACTACAAGGGAAGTGTATCTTTTGAACGTTGCACTGAGTGGCCAACAGAGCTGAGTGGTAAGAAAATCCATAGAAACACTGTGGAAATGAAGAATGGAGGCAGGACACGCAAACAAGTGCTTCCCCCTACAAGAGGCCAAGGGCAAGCGTAAGAAATGAGTTGTGGCCAAAGGAAGCCTCATAGGCAATGGGATAAAAATATTCTATACTTCTGTTTGTTTGACTTGTCCTGGGGTCAGAAAAAGAGATTTGTCCTTTTTTTTTTTTTTAGTTACAGAACTACGTAAAAGCAGTACATGTCTCTGACAATTTTTCATCATAAGAAGAATAACCTCAAATTTTTGGCTAGAAAGAATATTCAAAAGAAGTAGCTCTAGCAATGCAAAAGCATGTGAACCGAAATACTGCTCCAGAAACAGTGGTCCAGCAGGTCTAGCTTTTCATAGTCAAGAGGCTAACACACTTTAGGAAATGATGAAATAGCAATGACAATTATTAGTGTAAAACAATCTACTTAAATGGGACACAATTCACCACTCACAGGCTTTGAAGGTGGAAGCTTTATGAAGTCTTCCGTGCACCACATTATACCTCTTTATATGCACTGTTACAAAGATAAAAAACAATAATACAAATTGGAGGGATAAAGACATATCTCTGTATTTCAGCTTTTTGTAACCAAGGTCTTTGTTGAGACAGGTAGTAAAAGCATGACAGACACCAATAAATAAATAAATAAATAGGGTCTTTTTTTATTCCAGAGAATTTAATCCTTTATTCTTCGAGCAGACTTATCAGAGGGGTGTGCGTAACAGGAATGTTATGGCAAAGTTTCTGGATTCCTTGTTAGCCATAAACAGTTGGGCAAGACTTTGGACTCCTTTTCACATCTTGGATCTTCTGTGAGTTTAAAGAAGAAATACAGCTTTTTACACAGCACCTTCCCCAGGAGTTAGAAGCTGCAGTTATACAACACCTACACAATGACACCACTATCACAGTCACACCACCGTCATCAAAGGATGACTTTCAGTGAAAAGAAATAGCCAAGAAGACAGTTTAATTGTTTGAAAACTCATGCAAATACTGAACAATGAAACTCCATCTGATTATCAAAGAATCAAACCTGTACGAACATCTCACAAATTGTGGCATTCAATTCAGACTTCTTAGCTCTCCTACATAATTTCTTGGCTTTTATATATTGTGCAAGGGACATAGCTACTTTTACTTCTTTGTATGTTTTAAACTTTGAAAACCTTTCATGGCAGAGGTTATATGAATCATCCAGCTTTTCCTATTCCAAAATGTTTCACTGATCATTCATTATTAACTGAGTAAAATGAAGATAGCTATGATAAATTTTGATCTATCTCAAAGTATTAGAAAGGATATGAAAACATCTTGTTCATAGTACTAACTTTTAGATGACATATGAGGGTACAGCCTCACTTTTTTCACTGTCACATACCATAGGGCTCTTAATAACCCAATCACTTATTACATCTTTTTCCTCATTCCTAGGCACTGATAGTTTCAACCTGGTATGCCATTTAGCAGAAATTCATTCAAACAGTATAACAGTGAAGGGACTGGATGTTGATGGACAGGAAGCCTGTCAACATCAGAGATTAGGATCCTAACTCATGCCTAGATTTTTTCTAAGTAATGTATGTTCTCTAAACAGTTCTACATAAACGTATGTTCTCCTCTTGATGTGAATGCTCTGGAAAGACAGTAAGAAGCTGGTGGCCCCAGGTAGATCTCAGAGTGAGGCCTTTTGAGCAACACAGTAACTTGCATTCTGTTACTAAATATAGTGCAATGTAACTGTACACAAAACTTAGAAATACTGTGAGAAAATAGTCCTTTTCAAGCAGCTCACCACAGAAATGGGACAATGGGACAGAACCTGGAGAAGAACCATGGTAATCCAAAAAAAAAAAAAAAAAAAAAAAACACCCAAAAAATCTATCTCCTTTCAGTGAGTCGAGAAGTCGAGATCCCAGACACATCAGATGCATTTTGCTTCTTGTCATTCAGCTATACAGACAGAAGGACCAAAGCCAGTGGGATACTTCAGATATACTCCACAATTAAATATATTTAGAAAAAAAAATCATACTGGTTTACTCATTTACCTCTTAGAATATTTTCAGTTTCATTGCTGCCCTCTTCAGCTTGGGTTTTCCAGGGTGGGAGAGGGTCAGGTCTATGGGTAAGAGAAGCAGACAGGGACAGAAGTTGTGCAAAGCTGGTCATGGACTTAATAAGGGCTTGATTCTGTACCAATGAAATCAACAGGAGTTTGGCTCATGCTTGCAGTGGGAGGTGGATCAACGCTTCATGCCAGCTGTTCCCTGCTGGGTAGGGATAATCCCTTTGAAACAAAATATTTAACTTGTTCTCACTCTGTTGATGTAAGAAGGCTTCCCATGATAATGCTTTCATGAGAATTAAAAGGTGTGTCTCATTTTTAATTCCAAATACCCTGTTCCTCTAGTATGTATTTGCCAGTCCAATAAAACGATCAACCTGCTATTAGCCATGTGAGTTCACAAAAAATGCTACAGCAGTCTGAGTTACAGGGTGGATCATCTGCGTGTTCTGCTGGCCGTGACAGTACTTCTTGCAATTCCCTCAGCTGGAAGGTGCAGCAAGGAGACATGTTAGTTCCAACACTACACCTGAGGTGGGATCCCACGGACAGATGTAGAGTAGCCATGGCCACCGTAAGCAAATACGAAGGTGACAGAAAAAATAAATTAACTGCCACAAAGAACAGAATTTGGGAACAACATCAGAGAGACAGGAGCTGAGGGAGGACAGTAGTAACAATAAAATCAGATATGTGTGCCCTGAAATCTGGATCCAAGTACAGCATTTAGTCTCTGTCACTGTTTCTGTGTTTTGTTTCTATGTCATACTGGGGAAATGAGGTTCTGAACCTAGAGGAAGCTGCCCAGGTTGCTCTAGAGATCAGCAGCACACTCTGGCTATTTCTAGCTCCTGCGTTGATTAGCCAAGTTCACAACCAGTGTGGAAGTGGTGGCTATTTATCCCAGCGTTGGTTTGGTTCACTCCCTGTCACCCCTCTGGCTGAGATCCATTTGGCTAGCAGACCTGGAACATAAAGTCTGCTAAGTTTTATAAAGCAATTATTTAATTTGAAAAGTCTCTTTGATTGCATTCTAATGAGATTTCCATAAAATGCAGTCCTCCACCTCCTCCTGGGAACTTCTATTTAATCCATAAACCATGACACTTTTTGAAAAGCTCTAGAAGACTTCAAGAGAGGGATCTTCCAGAGACTGAGTTGTTAGGTGTGCTCACTGGAAACTGAGCTTTCCATAGACTTGCGTCCTACAGAAGCAGGAAATGTATGGTATTGTTTGAGCTTAAGAGACTGTGACATTTTTATAGAATGAACGGAGGAACTGAGATACAGTGACAAAGCCAGGAGCTGCATCTGGCTGGCTGCTCCGAGGAGCATTCCCCTTATAGATTTTTATGGCTCTCCCAACCTTAATATTAAACACTTGACCTTTTTGTCAAATACTATTTTAGATTATTAGGTTGGTTGATTAGTTACTAAATACACCATCTATAGATATAAAATTGTGTAGTCTGGTGCTTCAGTCTCAGACCTTTCAGGTATTGCTCCCTTGGCATTTAACGCCAGAGCAGCGAGTCCCCTTAAGTTAACTTAAGCCACTTGGTAAGCATGGAGCGCGTGGTGTTTTCACACAGAGGTAGTGATTTCTGAGGTGGCACTGCTAGAAAGGGGATGTCCTCTTTCCCTTACAGCTCCTCCACCCCAACCTGATAGCTTTAATGAAAGTGCTGTAAACATTGTGAAGTCGAGCATAAATAGGAGCCATCTCATGCCAAACAATGCAACAAAGACCGCTGACTACAAATAAGTATGTTT